TACATCAGATTTTTAGGGCTCAACTTTTTATTATTTTAACAATGAACAGAAATCAACAGTCAAACCATTAGATCAGATTTAACAGCAAAACTGTTTAAAATCTATCTTTCTAGTTTGCTAAATTTGTTACATAAATATTTTTCCAGCAGAGCATGTTTGTAAGTCAAAGGGTTAAAAGTAATTGTTAGAAGGCTGGAGAATACAGTAAGTTCCACTAATGTCACAGAACCACAAGAAGTGCAGCATATAGTGTCAGTGCATGACATCACAAGCACATGTCACATGGTGCTAACTATAAAAATACCTTTTAACTGACTTAAAAAAAGGGGGTAGATCTTCTGGGGAAAAAAATGAATAAAATATGTTTACTGTATTTTTATTTTTCCCCACCTTCCAGAGTTAAAATAAGGTAGAATCACCTTTGTCAACATTTTGTAGACATTAGTCTGTTAGAATACATCCCTAACAACATTGCACATCCAGATTTGTAAATATGTGACTAAATTTGTAAATATGTGATTTTTATCTCAAGAAATGTTGATGGACAATAATCTTCAAGCCATGCCACATTTTTTAAATTAAATTAAGGTTGGGCTCTGACTGCACTACTGAAAGACATTTATCCAGTGTGCTTTGGGTCGTTATCTGAGTTTCGTCTCAGTTTCAGCTTTCTTGCAGAGGGCAGCAGGTTTCCCTCAAGACCTTTTCTGCACTTTGCTCCATTCATTTTCCCTTCTACTGTATGTTGACAAAAGCCCCAATCCCTGCCAATAAGAAACATACCTATAAAGCCTCAATTTCCCTTTGGGTTCAATAAAGTGTTATCTTATATTCTTATAACATGCCACCACCTTGCTGGGTTTGCATCAAACACAATATTTGCATTTAGGTTAAAAAGTTTAGATTTAATTTTATCACACCAAAATATTTTCCCACTTGTTTGCAGTGTGACTTAAATGCTTTATTGCAGTTTTTTAATGACTCCCATACCTGTCAGATTTGCAGAATGCTTGGGATATTGTTGTCTCATGCACATTTTGACCAGTTGTGGTCATAGAAGGCTATATCTGTATCTCTTGGGAGCCTGTCTGATCAGTCATCCTTCTTGCTCACTCATCCATTTTGGAGGGACAGCCTGCTATATTTAGGGTTTTGGTGGTGCCATTTACACCCCACTGCTTAATAGTTGTCTCAACCATGCTCCAAGGGATATTTGAAATATTTTATTAATAATCTGTGCCTTTCCACAATTTTGTCCTGATGTTCTTTTGAAAACTCCTTGGTGCTCATGTGCACCACTACAATTTAAGAGTTAAATGGTTTAGGCCAGTTGACTTGGTGTGTGCTTTTTTAAGGGAATTTAGTTTATTTAGAATGGCTATGGGGTGAACACTTATCTAACTAGGATATTTCACGTTTCATCTGTAATTAATTTTCTATAAAAATTTTAATTACTTTAGGATGTCATGAGATATGATTTGTAGATAAATGTAAAATGTATATTTTAATGCAACAAGATATGAAAATCTTAAAAGAGGAGTGTAAACTTTCTTTAGGCATATAATGTACAGTACAGTATACAGTATATATAAACACTTTTCTCTGTGACTTTAGTAAAACGTAATCTACTAAAAGTTCCCAACTCACACATGCTTGTGTTTTTTGTGTTTGTGGTGACTCTCATCCTATTTCTTTTACTATTCTAATGAACAATTCAAATGAAAGTTCATATGAGACAAAACTAGACCTATAACAATTACATTTGGAACATTCAGGTTAAAATAATTTGCCATTTAGTCGACTAAAATGTCATATTGGCTCATCCTGTTTACTAATGAAAATACATGTAAGAAGGATTAAAGGCAAGAGGAATATAATAACTCCATCTAGCTCATTTGGTACAATACCTTTGCTTTTGACCCTACCTGTAAAATTAAAAAAAAAAAATCTGTAGGCAATTTGCTATTTGTTCACTCACTTGTGTTTTCTCATTCTATCAGACTGAAATTAGAAAGAGTAGAACAATACAGGCATTCCCTAGTGCACGTATTCCAACAAAATGACTGAAGAACTAATCTTTAGCAACATCAACCATTAGGATTCCAGCTATTGACATCCCTCGTTTTTCCCAGTCTATATCAGAAAAATCGGTGTCTCCCATAATAATCAATTCAACTGTTTCCCACAAATTCATCATTTAATTGTATACAACTGAATTATAATTGATATTTGATGTTCAAAATCTATAACATAATCCTAACACTATGCCTTTTAAATGATTTTTAATTCAGTCTGACTCATAGATTCGGAGATTCTGTTGATTAATCTATTTTTATGTACAATAATCCAACCTTTGTCTCTTCCATCCATTCCATTTATTTGTATTCATCCATCCATTTTCTAACCACTTCAAACTATTCAGGGTCACAGGGGAGCAAGAGCCTATCACAGGAAGCAAAGTGAGCAATGCAGGATACACCCTGGATGGGACCCCAGTCCATTGAAGGGCACACAGAGACACAGACAAGCACGCACACTCACACCTAGGGCCAATTTCCCCAGTAGCCAATTAACCTTCTAGTATGTCTTTGGACTGTGAGAAAAAAACAGAACACCTGAAGGATCCCCATGAGAACATGGGGTTATTCTCTGCCAAGTTTCATTGTGGGGCTATTCTCTGCCAAGTTTCAATGTTTCTAATTCTATTACAATCACATTCTAATACCATAGTTTCTATTTCATGCATTTTATCCCTGACATTGAAGCTATTACAAAATATATATACAATAATCCAATTTTGCATAATTAGTCAGCACCTGAAACAGTTCAATGTCAAGGATTATTAAAAATCAAATGGTAAATAATTACCCAAAGATTATCTGTTCAAAGCTTCCCTCTGTGTCTTCACTTAGATTTAAATGTCATTGTTCAAAAGGAATGAAGTATTGAACACTAAGGTATTAAAAGCTACCTAATTTGTTTAATTTAGGGGAGTATATGGCCAAAAGTTTGGACCATAATCTTACAGCATTCCAAAGCTTTTGTTGGCCTGGCTGTGCTTAATTTAAAATATTGTTTTTTTACTTTTCAGTCAATTGTTTGTAAGACATACAGTATGTTTTGGCCGAGGGACACAGCACCCAATTGAGAAAGCTCAAATCAAGCAAATATTGGCCATTACAAATTCACTAGAAAAAGTTGTTTTCTTGGAGCCCATCAGAATTTCAAATTAATTTAGCCACAGTATTTGAAATAATTTTCCCATACTGTCGGATTCTCAGACATTTACTGTACCTTCCCTGTTTTCTCAGGAAATGTCCCCACTCTTGGTAACAATAGCTTGCTCACAATTCAGGATTTAAGGGAGACTCAAGGCTTCCAGGGCTCTTTGTTTAGAAACAGCCCTGTACACCTACAGGCTGACATGGAGCACTGCTTTACCCCTTCGGACAGTGGCTGATCTGATTTAAACCATAATAAGGAGTCTAGTATGACTAATTAGACAGACTGTAGTAGTTCAGGTTGGTAGCTACATCAGCATGCGTAGGCTGCAAAGGAACAAGTAATAGGTTTATTCCATGCTGAAAAAAAAGAAAAAAAGAAAAGAAAACAACGTTTCGGTCGTGGAGCCTTCTTCAGGTGTGAGCTGAAGAAGGCTCCATGGCCGAAACGTTGTGTTTTCTTTCTTCTTTTTTTCAGCATGGAATAAACCTACATTATGACTTGCTCCTAATTAGACAGACTGCATGGTAATCCTGATTTGTATGCAATCTGGGGGCAATACTTCCACTAATCTTATAAACTAATTTAACTAAAAGATACATTTTAATCTTGGATGAAGCATCTACCCCACACACATATTCCAAATGAAAGCTGCTCTCAACCCATTCAAGAGACACAAATGCACTATGGTGGTAACCAGTCCCCAGCTACTGTACAGTATGTATATTTTGGTAGTAAGCTGTGCAATCTTGGTTGTATGACACTTACAGACTTTAGAATATGAGCCTTCATCTGTTCTTGCTCAGTAACAATTCCCAGGTAACTAACGTTCATGTGACACATTATCCAGTGTTCATAGATCCAACTGCAATCATATCTAATTTATGCAGTGGGTAGAGGCTGAGATACCCTTAAGTAATACTTTGTTGCATTCCTTCACTAAAATTCTGCAAAGGGAAAGAATTAAAGCTAGATTTTACTACTTCTCACACTTTGACAGTGTGGTCAGATGCTTTCTTTCCTCTTTAAAATTTGTTTCCTCTTTTTTATTCTTGTGCACTCCCACTTTTTTATTTTGTTGTTCCTCTTGTTCAGGTTTAAAAATCAAATAGAACGTTTAAATATACTCTACATTCAAAGTTTACACAGCACAATGACATAAACCCCAGGGATACCCCTGCTGAATATTGAAAAAAGAGTCTTTGTGCGATTAATAATTTCTGATACTCTTCTGCTTCAGCCACTCACTTAAGACACTTAAGCTTTAGCTAAACTTATCTTGTATCATTTCATTGTTTGCAAAATGCTATAGCTTAAATTTGTGATCCAGCTTTTCTGCATTTTATTTGACACTTTATTTAGTCACTCTGAATTACTGATTAAACCCAGATATTCTTTTGTCAGACAAGTTTGCACATAATGTAGTAAGACATAGTAAAAGTTTGCACTTAATGCACATAGTCAGACTGAATGGAAAATAAGACTCAGGTAAACCAAAAGGTCTAGCAAATCATTTTCCAGTGACTAGAGAAACCAGAATAACTTGGAAAGCAGAAATATACAGTAGGTCATGTTTTGAGAAATTTGGGATAGGCAAAAAGGTGTTTTGGAGCCACGTAAGAGATAATATTTTTCATCAGAGTGAATTTACAATGTAAACCATGCAAATTATTCATGTAGACCCATGAAATGAACATCACTGGAATTGGTCTTGTTAATATCTGGTCTCCTGCTGTGTATTCCCTGACAAACTCTTCTTTCTCTCCTCTCTTTAACAGGAACCAGTCAGCCAGGGCAGGTGGTGATCCTTCACAGGACATTTTCTTAAATATGCAACCTCCCCTCTTTGCTCCGGTGGGGGTGGGGGAGGCCAAGACTGAAGTGCAGTGCAGCCGTCTGGACAGGGCAGCTCCAGGCAGCATTAAGGGCACCCCATTTGGTCATGGCACACCCCCTCCTCCAGTCCGAGCCTGCTCTATTCCCATCATCCCCTCTGTCCTGGGACAAGACGACATTTCCTGTATGCAAAAGGGTGACATTAGTGAGGGCAGCTGTAGTTCCATGCCCCTACCCTGCTTGTTGAGCTCTGTAGTGGACAGCATTCATGGTGCGCACACCCCCCCTTCTCCAGCAGCTGTAATAATAGCAGGTGGGCAGCAGGAGGCAGTGGCTTTGCTTCTGGAGGCAGCTCAAGAGCAGCTCAGGGTCCTGGCACACGCTCATAGGAAGCTGGAGGACAGCAGCCCATCACCCATGATGGCATGCGAGACAGCCTGCTTCCTGTCTCCCATCACTGCAGGGGGAGTGCCCCAAACCAACCCCCCTGAAACCCAGCTGATGAATCCAAGTGAACCCCACAGAGACTCCTCCCAGCCCTGCCAGTGAAGTGGTGGAGGCTGTCCAACCCTGTTTGGACCAATCATAATAAACCCTGGTGTCTTGAAACAGAACTGCATATGGAACTGCAGGAAAGTGGCAAGAGGACTAAATGACTGAAAAAAAACAAACAAACAAAAAGAACAAAACACATGCATAAAGAGGAAAGTATGAACAAATTAAAGAGGGTATGGTTGAAAACTTATTTAAAAAAGAGAAATTATTTATATGCATTTATTTAAAATGAGAAGCTTCTACTTAGAAAGGAAACCAAATAGTCTGTCATCTTCATGGTGTTTTTAATTGTAAAAAATGAAACTATAAAATAAAAGGTGAGGATGTAAAGATGAGGAATATGGAAATGTTACAAGTTTTCATTTGTATTAACTCCTCCACTGCTTTCAGACCCCCAGTGCAGATCACACGTTATCAGTCTCAGAGAATCTGTTAAAAGAGTATTAGAGAACCCAACACCCACTGCATCTGACAGAAAACAGTGCTTCGTCCATGGAAGTTCTGCTCCTGTAGCAATAGTAGTATCTCAAAGTAAAATCGCAGATTAACAAATGGAAGAATGGGAGAGAAAGTAATGGTATCTTCTTACGCTACTAGCACAGCTTCACATACAGATAATATCTTTCCTTCAGTCTGCTTCCCTGAACAGTCACTTTTTCTTTTTTTGAGATTCTTCAGGCACCTTGGGCAGCTCTTTGGGCAACAGATATAGATATTCAGCACCATGCCTTCCTGGCCTAGGTAGACGTGTTTAGACATGACTGGCATGATGGAGAGCTGGGTAAAGATGAATGACTGACAAGCAGGAGTGAAAGCGAGGGCTTGAGGGCATGGAGGAGTTTGTTTATTTAGAATCAGAAGATGTCACTTGACTGATGGTGTCTTTAAGTGATGGGTGGAGTTCATGACTGGTTGCAAATGTGGGACCATCCTCTTTTTTTACAATTTTAGTATGCATAAAAAATAGCAAAAGGACTGCAAGATCAATTTGAAATTTCTCCATAATGCTCTACCACACAGTAAGACTTGCATGAATATGGCAGTGCCTGGAGTTTCGTTTCCTGCTGCCCCCTTGAGGCAATTTGGAGAAGAGTGCTGTAGAAACATGGGGAGATTTTCAAACAGTAGCGTTAATGTTTGTGACCATACAGTAGAGATTTACAGTATTATAAGCAGGGATTTTCAAGCAGAGTAAATTAAACAAATCAGTTTCATGATTCATTGATAGTCAATGAAGTCATTACACAATGAACTGTATTAAAAAGTGTGCAGGTCACTTATATCATTCCCTTTGCCAATGACTATATACAGTAAATGGGGAGGTATCAAAGGTAAATTCCTTTCATCATATTAAGTGAACTTTTCTTTCACATGCAGCCTAGCTGGGCTGACATGTTACACAAACTCAGAAAAAGACACTTAATAAGTATTGTATTTACACTGATACTTACAAATACATTCACATACTATCAATTACATGTCAACTTTGCAATCACCTGTAAATAGAAGTTTTATAATTACTGGTGCTGTTACTATCAACTTATCTATTTGCAAAGTAGGCAATGTTATTCAGGATAATTTTTAATGCTTCAGAAATGTTAGAGAGAAGACAATACAGAAGTATTGATTCTGGTATAGCTGTATTGTAAAGTTGTCTGATGTTTGATCAAATGTTCAGTCAGCATTAAACTAGAATATCTTAATTAATATTGAAATTTAATTGTATACTCATATTTTTTGCAAAATAAAATAAACACAGTATGCACCTACAGTTCAGATAATAACGGTATACATCAACTGATAATTTATGGGTACAATTAATGTCAGATGCAAACGAGTGGTGTATTGTTCTAGCAGTATAGCTCACATTTCCCAGCGTTGCTAATTAAAATAAAGAAAATACATTTAATAGAAACCAGCAAGCTATTTTCAGCATATACTGTATAAGCTATGGGTATTGAATAATCTAGTCAGGGTTTCAACAATTATCTACTAATACATTCTCTGAAATGAAGATCTCTGAAATTGAATGCAGCAGAATGTGTCAAAATATTAGAAACAAATCAGAGAACAGGAGACCTTTGGAATGGTTTGAAAGTAGGCAAATAATTATTTCAAACCCAGATGCACCATAAAACTGCATTCTGACACGAGTCTACTCCTGATTAAGTTGAATGCTGAAATAGGTAAAGATAACTGTAACATTTTTATCGATGCAACCATAACCAGATGGACAATGGTGGAGATGGTATATTGATTACAACTGTCCCATCAATTCACCTGTGATGCTGTTAAGACCACCACATTTTAGTAGCAGATCCAAAACCTTCTACTGATGCTAACAATGGCTCTGGTATCCAGATTTCAAATTGTCATCTGCTGTATCTACTGTATCTAAAACCTATGATTAGTCCTTTTACACCCTCTCTCAGTGTTGTCGTTGTCCCTTCAAAAATTGAATTTATAGATGCAGAGGGAATCACAGCAACTCCATTATTTTACTTCATCTTAAACTAATGCACAGAATGTTACTCCAAGACTAGATAACTATCTGCAAAGGAATAAGTGCAGATAGTTATATCTGAAGGCACCTGAAGAAGGCTCCATGGCCGAAACTTTGTGTTTTCTTTCTTGAATTTTTATCAAGGAATAAACCTATTACTTGTTCCTTTGCAGCATATGTATGCTGACGCGGCTACCCACCTTGATATCTATCTGTCTGTTAATGAAAACCATCCTTTTCCAGTAGCAAATTAAATGCTGAATAAATTAATGTAATTAATTTATCTTTAAATCCCCTTGCAAACACAACAAATAGTCAGCAAACTATAATACAAATACAAATTACTAAACAGTACATCCGTATCAATGCATTTTTCTATTAATATAAATCTATGAATTATAATAAAATGTCTTCTTAAAAAATTCTATAATGACCTATTTGTTAATATAAAATCTCAACTTTGGCATTGCCATTTGAAAATCCCCCCTCTCTCACCTATTCTGTACGGCTTCGAGATTGCAGTTTTCAAAATGCAAGAGCAACAACACCTATACAGAAATCAGTTTTCAAAAGTTAACAATTGGAAATGTGGAAAAAATGTTCAATCATTGATTGAATTTAGTTATTAAAGGTTCAAGTAGAAAAAAACACCAGTAGGATTTTCAAGACCAGAGCATATTAGAATATACTACAATTATTTGAGCAAAAAAATAAATACATTTCAATTTGTCCATCCATTTCAGTGCCAATAGTGCCATTGAAAAACAAACTACTGGGTACCATGATTATCTCTTAGCTTTGCAATTATTGCTGTGGAAGATTTAATTGACAGAAAAGACTATGATAAGCATGTACAAAGGAAAATGCACTAAGTCTCATATAATTTGCAATTAGGTAATGCAGGTTTAAGATTAAAGAGTATAGCACTCCAGGATTTCTGATTATATCTTACAAGAGAACCCAGCACTGAGATTTATGTCATGATTAACAGGAGGATGCAAGAAGATTTATTAAATTAAGACATTGCTGGTTTTCTTGTATGTCCCTCAATGAGCTACTGTCTTGTTGAGTATATAGTCCCACCTTGCACCCTACTGTATCTTTCTAGGACAGTCTTAAACTGTTATAGTTTTGCGATAAGAAATTAATAAGAATTAATTTTAGATTACATGTATCATAAACAAAATAATTACAGAAAATGGACACAGACAACTCCACTCTCACACATCTCCAGTGATACTTCTCACTAATGTAGGCCAAAGGACCCCCCCAAAACAAGACGTATTGCATAATAGTACCACATAATAATGTTTTGACTGTGTCAGCAGTAGCATTCAAAACCTCCCAGCACCACAGACTCAAGCAGCAGAAAGCTTTGTAATGCCATCATGTCAAGGCCAGGATGGAAGGTGATGGCAGCAGATGCAGCATATGCATTGTTTCAGTTGTAGTTATACCACCCCAGTATGAGAGGTCCAGATTAAATGCATCATCTAGCAAAGAGTAATGACAGTGAGTAATAAGGGGCAAAGAAGAATACAAATGTGTTCCTAAAACACTTGTTAAGTAGGTACCAGTCAACTGGGCACTCATATAATATGATATCATATACAAGAGGTCCGTATAGAAAATTTTAAAACTATAAAATACATTTTAAATCTGGAAACAGAATTTATATTTCAAAGTTTTGCTAGTAAAAATCACTTAATTTAAACACCCATAGCCCATTTCCAAACAGTAACTGCTGCTAAATTAAAAAAGAGCATAGAGGAGGCTAATCCCCTTACTTTGGCTTGTGGTCCAGTAGATTATGCAGTGAGTGAATATAAAGTACAACCTTGCCCCTCAGAGAATGCTATAAGCACATAAAACAGAACAGGGATGCAAGTAAAAAAGGAAGAGGAACCAGGAAGCTTTATGAAGATTCTAATCAGTTTTCTCATTGAAAACTCTGCTAGAATGTGAATGGAAAACGCAATTTCAATGTACAGCATTTTTCTTTAGGTGTTTATAAAGTTAGCTGTCATATTCATACACTGGAAACAGAAAACTGTACATCAGAGAGCAATGAAATTTCACACATCGATGTGTGACCATGAAAGAAAGCACACTAAATTTCTAGGAATAACATTTGGTGGACACTGGCAATGTAAACACCCTCTAGTGTATAATGTCATTGTCCATGGCAAAATGTTTTCAAAGGCTCCATGAACATTTTTATTTCTCCAAAGTGCACTGTGTTTTCATGGTTTGAATAGGGTCTGTGTGTTGAGCAATTTAACATCATGCAGGCCTGAACCACTGTTTACCTTATGTAGTCACACATACTTACAGCAGCCACAGAAATAAGATGTGGAATGCTGCTGCCCAATATTTGGCTTACTTTCCTGCACATTTCTTAAATTATTTCATCTACACATCTGCAGTATTTAAAATGTGTCCTTAAACCCACTGCAATTAAACCTGCTTAAACCTGCAATTGAATCATCTGAACTAAAGCTCATTCTTTCATGCATTTACTTGACTCATTCCCGCTGTGTAGAACTGAGAGGAAATGAACTGTCAATGATTTCATGGCCCAGATTAAATCCCAGATTGTACTAATCCACCTGATCCAACCATCAAAACCTAGACTTCAGACAAGGTTTCCACTGGGTATCTGTGAGAATCTTCCAGTAATCCAAAGACTGCCATTATGTGACACATCTGGGCTTTGTGACTGGTAGGCTGGCTGAATTTCTTTATCCAATGCAAAGCAAAGCTGTTATAGCTGGTAATCAGGTCACAGCAGCATTATTACAATTCTTTTGAATTCCCTAAATTATGGGAGGGTTTGAAGAGTTTTGACTTTTGAAGTTAGACTCATAACTGAAAATCATAGATTTTTTTATTTTGCAAAGAAAATTTGATTTTCACATTATTTTTTATTCACTTTATTTTTTTCTGATTCTGATTCTGATTTATTTTAGATGTACTTTATAAGGCATTTATTACTCCTTTATGACTATTCTGATGTTTAAGATATGATTAGCACATGTATAATGTAGCAAATGCTTATATGCATTATATTTATTAGACACTTATTACTGACAAACAGTAATACGTTTTGAAGGAGAAAGATTGAATATGTCTTATAAAATACACCTAAAATAAACTATTCCTAAAGAATATGTGTATGAATGACCATCATGAGAAAATGTGTACTGTATATTGTGCCACATACCGTAAGAAAACAGCTGTTTCCTTCTGGGATTTTGCTGGATTGCATGATTTCTGCAATGCACTGCGCCTAAATGAGATCCCAACTCCTATTTTCAAGGCTAACAAGTTCTGGGGACTTGAACACATGTTTACTGCTTTCTAGTGCCTATTAAAAAGATACCATATAGACACTAGTCAGATCCAATCAGGAAGTTTAAGGACAGCTCATAAAAATCCAGTTATCCATGGCTTTCTTCCACTGTAAAATCCATGAGTGTTGTCTATTATCAGCTAATACTTATTTGCTGTTAAGTAAATCAACTTAACTGCAGTAAACCTGTGAGCACTGGATTTATACTGATGGGCTGATGTATGAATTAAATAAAACTTTACAGTAATGTGGCAGCTGTAATCAAGGGTGTGAAAGCTCTATAATTTTGAATGAATCCAGTGGCCAAGGAAGAAGCAGTGAGATGTGTGTTTTGGCTCCTGATGTTTCTTTTGCTTGTTTCATTTGCTCTCCTGGCCTGAACAAAGAGGGTCATACTTTAAAGTGTGAGAAAGGACTGGAGGCCCAGTCACGCAGAGATCTCTGTGACATTCAGATACTGTTCCTCAGAGACAAGATAGATCAGGTTCCTGTTCCCAGTCAGACCTACCATAGAACAGAATTTATACAGCCTGAAAATGTAAGCAGCCAACAGGGATATGTATCAGAAGCTTTAAAAAGCTCTCGGGTGACAAGGGAAGGTAGAAGCAGATAACAGGGCTTATGTTTTGTGCTCAGAATATCACATTCAATGGCCAGCATGATCAGAGCTTTCATTAGCTTTCCTTTCTGCTTAATGTTTTAACAACATCAAAAAGGCAAGCTGATGTCCAGAAAACACTGACATAATGCCACTCAAATTGTAATAGAGGATTCCCCCACTGATGATGCTTTTTATGTGTTTAAAAGCAAAAGAATGTTGTATAATATTGCATCATAATAAACATTACATAAACAGTACGTGCCCCACGTACTCTATTGTACCCTCTTAGATGAGAAGAATTGCTATAGATCTACCTTTGGAAATTCATAAAACTGTCTAACTGTAGTGCAGTAAGACAAAAGCAACCTTTAGACCTTCAAAATAATTTATTCCTAGCTCTAAGAGCTGGGTCCACCCATACAGTACCTGTCAAAATTCAAAATATGGGAGACACACAAAATATATTTTGATTAAAAGGTTCATTCATTTTCTGAGTTCACTTTTTATGTTGTAGTAGAATCAAACCCGACTACCACCAATCTATGAGAAAAATTACCTTGTGAGTAATGGAAATGGTGCTCTCCAATGGCACCCCATCCAGGGTATATCCCACCTTGCACCCTTTGCTTGCCAGGATAGGCTCCAACTCCCCGGTCACCCTGTATTGGATGAAATGGTTAGATAAATGGACCGATAGATAATGGAAACTGACTTTCCACTGGAGACATAAAGGAAACTCCTGGAAAATAAAAGAGAGCTGTCAGGTATCTGCCCTGATAGACTGTTTGATTCAAGAATGCTGCCTCACCACCACAATAGAGAAAATAAGTCTACATTCTATAGGCTAGACTGTTTCTGCTTAACATTTGGTAGGCTTATTTGGCTATTGATGTGACCTGACATCCTATACTCCCACTACCACTACCTGGGCAGTGCAAAGCCATACAGTAAAAAACTGTAGTGCCGTTACCTCCTTTGTTTTTAGGCTTTGATACAATTATGCACTGTGACAAGTCAACATGGGCATATTAGGCCTTGCTGATGAGAACAAGGTTATCATACACTGCCTGCAGCTACAGTATGCACCATTATGCAGTCACTGTGTTTTTGGGTGAGCTCAAAAACAAACAACAGTGGATTTTGTGGTTGTCTGCACCTGTCATTTTCGTCCAGGCATTTGCTAGATTCATATAAAAACATCTTTCAGGAGTGAGATATTTTACAGTGTCACATGACTTAAGGGGAATTTGTAGGAGCAGAAATGTAATTGTCCAGGTTGTTGTTCTCAGACAAACAGTTTACGAATCCCACCTTCCACCCACCTCCCATCCAAATAGTAATTACAATCTTGAATTTATGATTTATAAGCACTAACATGCCTCTGTGCCCTTATGCTAACTAAGGAACCATCTGTTACCTGACCATTCCTGCGTTCAATGCACTGTCTATGAGCACTGAATTCTAGCATATTCTCCTGTGATACATATTGGAATATTACAACAGTTGCACAGGGGCTGCACACAGACCAGCACAGCCAGGATAGTCTAGTATTTTTTTTTTCATTAAGAGTTACAGGAGTAAAAAGTTGGAAACTGAAGCTCTGCTTTTAGGTAGGTGTACATTTAATGATAAAGGTGTCCTGACATCCAATCAGGACAGCTATGGGAGCATGATGACTCCAATTTTTCTGTCTTGAGGTTATGTAAATGATGGATGTAGACACAACCCATCAGGTCATATAGATCACCCTTAAATCATCAATTTGTAAAGACTTGGAAACTGTTGGGTTTCCTCAACTTAATTAGTTAACAAGTTGGAATTGGTCTACTGTGGTCCTTAAGGTTCACAGGTTGTTGATATTTCATTTCAGATTA